CCCCCCCTTCCCACCCTACCAATAACTTGAACGATTGGTATGAGTAGCAGTAGTGCACTCGCCTCTCACCTCTTGGAGACTAGGGCTAGATTCCTAGATTTAACATCGCATGTGAGTAGAGTTTGTTAGAATTTTCTCCCTTGGATGATTCAAGTTTTTTTCGGGTAAATGGCGGGTTTTTCTATCCGATCCGCAAAATCTAACGAGCTAAGTTTCAATTCAACCTCTAAGTTGTCATACTCTATCTAAAGATCAGCCCAGAGGTTGTTTAAGGTTTATTTGTATACATTATATTTAGTATTCAAGTAGTTTAAATTTATTAAATAAACTGGATGATAAATTCAATTTGTTACCTCGTGGGGGTCTGTTTTCATGACAGGCATCCAACCTTTCTTGCTACAGCCGGGAATGTTTTTCATGTGACACATGACCTCCACGGCTGTCGAGTCCAAAAGCAAAGAATACACTCCATCTTCCAGCTCATGATCTCTGAGAACAACAAACACAAATATCTCAGTAGGTTGTGTGCAGTCGCCCTTCTCGTGTGTACAAAAGCACACGACCGTACCGCCATTTTGGTTATATAAAATCATTGTCATCCAACATGGCGGCTATGACGTCAGATGCACAAGGACAAAAGACATGGCCGCCATGTTGGTTCATGGTATGACAAGAGAAACCAAGACCAAATCATTTGTTCAAGTCATCCAACATGGCGGCTTTGACGTCAGATGCACAAGGACAAAGCAGGTGATCTCGTTTTGACAGCCCATCAAAAACCAGCCAATCAGCGCACAGAAAGAAATCTGATCAGGCGGTCATCGAATCTACTGGGGGGTGGGGGTAGGGGGGGGGGCATGACGGCCGTAGTCACAGAAAATAACTCTGAATCTTTGCTTTTCGAGATACGTTATGGACTAGCTTATCTTTGTCATAGTAACTTCTTACCCTGTATTGTTTATGATGTCTTGGCACGACCGAAACGGTCCTGTTGACACAAAACATTTTTAGTATGTGAAAGAACTTTAACATCGCTCAGTCGCACATGGGGGTAATTACTCAACCTGAAGTTGATTATGATATGCATTTGTATGTCACACATATTAAATGAACCCTTCGCAAAAGTATCGTGGATGCGAGCTTAACATGAAAACACAAAAGAAATCGGCGCCTTTTCTCGATGGAATTGGTGGTATTTCTTTCTTCTTCTTCTTCTTTTTTTTTTTCCCCATGTAAGCCTCCCATTCAAAATAATTTTGAGAAGGGCTTATCAAGCTCAAAATTTACGAATCCTGAGAAAAATGCAAACGTGTAAGAAATATTCACGAACTTACCATTCTCACAATGACGGCCGCTTGTGTATGGATGACAGCTGCACCGATAATCGAGGACTACACCCAACTTATCGTCGTATACGTAAGAACAGTTCCCTCCATTTTGACATGGAGATTCAGAACAAATTGAAGGATATTGAGGCCACAAATAAGTGTACCTTGCTTTGGTTATTTTATTCTCGTCTTTGGTCGAGTAAAGAGTTTGGTTGCAGAGCTCGCAAAGGTGGTTGGGATTGCCCTGAGTATTGAAGTTGACCGAGATGCATCCTGGATGTTCCAAACATGCTTGAACACAGCCTATTGAATTCTTCACAAACTTGAAGTCTATAATGACATTGCGAAGGGAATAATCTGGAATGTAAATAAAATATTACTGAAAACACCGGTTTTCTTATAGAACAATTGAATAGAGAAGGAAAATTAAACATTGTGTAAATAAAATAAAAAAATAAAATAAAATAA